GGAAGTAAATGAAAAATTGGTATTAAAATTGTTATAGCGGAACAGTATAACTATTTACTGTTAAACGATCAATTTGCTTGTAAACAATTCAGTGGCATAGTCGGTTAATCATGGACTAAATAACTGTGTGGTGATGTCCCAAACTGTGAAACATGATTCTAATGGTTTAAAAACTACCAGTTATTCCAATCAATTAAGAAATATTCAGATATCTTTTTAACACATCCAAAGTACCGAGAATTCTAGGTTAAGTAGGGCTTTCTACTGACCATATCCAATTAATTAACACCAAAGAATTTAGCTAGTCAGTTTCAGTAAAAAAAACGGTACTGGGTACGAGTAACATAGTGAACATCAACTCTGAGATGCAGATATATCCAGCTGATGAGTTCCAAATAGAACGAAACGCGTGTCCTGGATTCCACTACTAGCCATTATCTATCTTTGCATCAAATGGATTTGTTTTATACTATACCACTCAGATAGTTAGCTTTCTAAAATTGAATATAACATGTGAAAAAGATAACATTGAAAGCCATTTAAAATACTGTTGTTTATGAACGAAAATGTATTCATGGATTTTTAAATATTTAATTATAGTTCATATCACTATATCTTCAGATAGAAGTTTGTGCTGATGATGTTGTTCAGAAGAACGATGAAAGCTCCACGACCATACCATCCAGCTCAGAGAACAAAACCCCACCAAAATCATCCACCTGAGCTGCAAATCTTCTCCACCATCTCAATATCACTACATCATTTAGATAACCGATTTAATCCCCGAAATATGAGTTCTTAAGGATGAATGAATTTATTATGTAGTGACAGTTTCATTATTTACTTTAATAAGAAATAAGTCATGATACGATGCCAAAATCAAATTTCAAGGTTATTAATCATTCTTTTAAATATTGTCCACCAAACTAGAATGAAGCAATTGGCTATATGATGATTTCTTATTTCCAAATGATATTGGTTAGTAAGAGTTTTCTCATAAGATTTAATCTTAAACACTTGTACAGTAATCGTTTTTTGTTCCGATAATTCTAGTAACCATTTAGCTTTATTTAACTTTGATTCACTAAACTTGTCTACTACTATTACTCACAATTGATTGATCACTGGGTGGTGATCAATGTCATGTATGTCAAGTCCTTATTTAATGCAGATCGAATGCTATCGACCATGTTGCAATGTGGCCACCAGTCTAGGTGACTCGACACTGCGTACGCTAAATATTGAGATTAGATGGTGGTTGGAGGTAGTCGACTGGATTCGATCTGTATTAAATAAGAACTTAACACACATGAAATTGATCACCACCCAGTGATCAGTCAGTTGTGATTACAGGAGGTCGGTCGCGGCCCGAATAGCATAGTGGTAACGTCTCTGACTGTGAAGCTGGGTGACACGGGATAGAATCCGTCAGGGAACATCAGTTCCTTCAAGATTACAGGTACACCTTGCTGACGAGTGCCAAGTAGCACGGAACCGGGGTCCAAGGTTTCCTGTTGACTACTTCCAACCACCATCTAACTACTATTACTATTACTACTACTACTACTGCTAATAATAGTAATATCAGTAATAATGATCATAAAAATAATAACTACCCATCATTTGAACTTATTTTCAAGATCATCTTTGTAGTTCTACTCTGAATATCTAATCTTGAATAACAATCAAATGATGTATAATATTCAACCTCATTAAAAAAGTACTTTCAAGTATATCAGTCGATAAAATTGTAAATGTAAACTAAATATTCCACAACAAAAAGATCCAAGTGTACTATTCGCATATCAATGATCAAAACATGAATTGAATAATCATTTAAAGTGTTAAGTACTAGAGGTAAGTTTGGATTAAAGATATTATTGTTTATTTCCTTGAAAAAGCTTGGACCAGATTGTCAGGCAAAACGTTGAATTCACTTCAAATTCTTTCACTGAGATTTTACAAATACAACATTCTTCCTCTTTAATGTCTCATACTAACCCGGCGCCCAAATACTTTAAAATTATTCGGTCAAATTTAGAAGAAAGTTCTTATTTATTTTTCTTCCTTATCATGGAAATTGAGTAAATATTTCACAAGAAAATAAATACCATTTTATAGACTGTTAGGTCCTGGGTTCGAATCTCACACAGGTGGTTTCATGAATGCGTACTGCTGAGTAGTTCTATATTAGGACGAAACAGCCATCCAATGCTTTCGGGTTTAACATGATAGTCTAACTTCAATTGATTTGTGAATTCAATTATTAGAATGACTGAAAAACATCTCCTGATAAAAAATCATCTAAGTTTATTTTTCAAGAAAACTGTTATAACTTGTGGACTTGTGTGCCCTGTTATTGTATAACGCAACGATACCGCCAATCAGAGATCAGCGAATTATCGATCGAAGCAGTGATGCATAAAACAGGGGCGAGCAGCCTAAAGTCCTGATTGGTCTCGCGTTCTGTCTAGCCCAGCCAGTTAAGTCCAGAATACCAATCTCAGCCATCGTCATATGAATCATGTATTTCAAACATACTGGGTTTATATACAAACCAAACAGATCACATCTTACTATAAAATAGGAAATAACATTCACACAAGATTTAGCCAAATGTGACTGTGAATGTAGAAGACTGTAATTAATAGACTGGGTAGAACTCAAGAACAATAAATCGTATAATAATAGTCTATGAGTCAAAATAAAGCGTATGGAATGAGGAACATGAATATTCATAGTCTAGTCACTTTAAAAGTATACAACAAAAACATATATATAATATTAGTCCATGAATGGATCCCAAAAATTACCATTCATTATTCTTATCGGGATATAAGACCTCCCCTTTTTGAAGATCCGGATTTTAAATTTTCCGGGTTTATGTAATGAGAAATACTGTATGGCACACAGGTTCATAAGTTATAACAAAAACCAAACAATTCGTTTATTCAAGTTAGTCGTTAAGTTTTAATAGAATGATTTACTGAAACTATATTTTTGATTGACTAGAAATGAATGATTGTATTTTTTTGCCCTTCTCCTTCTCCTTCTTCTTCCTTCATTTGGGCTCAGTTTGAATCCTGATTAGTTATATTACTATTTATCATTTTATCCATCTATCCATCTATTCATTCATTTAACCTATTCAATTATTTGAAGTACTTAGACGTGTACAATACTCGTCAGTTCATATG